TTCAGTTGCTTCTGCTTCTAAAACAAAGAAAAATAGAATAACTTTTCCTGAGGGTGAACACATTCCATATACCGTATTTTTTGCCCCATAGGACGCACTTTTTCCCCTCCAAAAATGAAGGGGAAATGTGTGTGCGTCCTATGGGGCGAATGCAGGCTTTCGCTGAAGCCTGGAGAGCGAGAGGCATCGGTGCGCACCGACCCCTCTCGCTCTCCAGGCTTCAGGAAGCTATCCGCAAGCCTTGCAAGCCCGGTGGGAGTTCCTGCGGGCTCACAAGGCTTGCGGGCAGCAGCCTGCAGCCCCCGCGAGTGTCCGCAAGCCTTGCGCGCCCGGCAGGAGGTCCCGCCGAGCGTGCGAGGCTTGGGGCGGCAGCCTGCCGCCCGAAGCACGGAGAGCCCTCCGGAGGGTGCCCCGTGCTTCGGGCAGGTGAGCACAAGGCTTGGGGCAGCAGCCAGGGCAGGGGGGGGAATAAATTTTTTTTTATTCATTTTCCCCCCAAAAACGAGGTGCGTCCTATGGGCCGGTGCGCCCTATAGGACGAAAAATACGGTACTCTGATGGTCACTGGTTACTAAGGTCAGTGCTTTTTCTGGTACCAGTCCCTGATAAATAATTGTCCCATAATATTTTGCAGTGGCGAGGGGAGAGTGCCAGATTAATAATAATAATAATAATAATAATAATAATAATAATAATAGGTGATGTATGCGGTTCTTCCACACAGGGCCAAGGGGGTGCAAAATTGAGAAGATCCCTAATTGAGAAGATTAATTTGGGGTGCCAAATGTTCTTCACAACTTCCACAAATTCCATGACTATGCCAGGTTCTGGTTGGGCTCGTATTATGACTAAAGCAAGGGGAGAAATTCGATTCAATTCACATCTTTAGGCAAACATAACCAGTTTGCACTTTCAGAGAAAAAGACACAAGTCATGGCAAAAACATCATTTAGAAATTCTCACTGCTCCAAATTTTACCACGCAGTTCCCAAGCCAAATAATTCTATTTATTTTATTTACTTCGCAAGGTTAATATGGCACCAACCTTGAAGCAGTTTACAAAATGAATAAAACAATAAAACCAGTTAAAAACAACGATTTAAAACATTCAAAATATAATTAAAACCAACGATAAGCTAAAAACTAGATTAAAACATGTATCAACATGTCAGGTGTCAGAAAGAGCAAAGGGATGTCAATAGGCAGGGATGTGCACACATATACAGCATCCAAAATTCATTATATAACGGGAAACAGCTTTGCAAAAATGTGTATATTAAGCAAAAAATTTCCTTAAAATACTGGTGAATTTCCATGAGGAATTTTTAAAATAAATAAATCATGAGTTGGTATGGAAATGGAGAGAACCGAACTTAAGTGTGGAAAATGAGAGAAACTGAAACCGACAGATTCTCCCATCCCAAATTAAGCTGCAACCCTAACTACATGGTCTGTGGGCTGGTGGGTTTTACTTCCCAAATGGGCCACTTTTTGACGTTGACGCAACCTCTCTCCTTGAAAATGAAATTGCTGCTTCGATTCCCAGCAGCGAAAGTAATTGGCAAAGTGCTTCTGACATCTGAAAAACACAATTCTTTCTGCATGAGCTCTCATCAGCATATATGCAGCCTTGTGTGTGGTGCGGCTCGCCATGGGTGCTAAGGGTCATTCTGCAAGGGCTGCTATGAGCAGCAGTACCTATTTTTAAAAAGGATGCAGTTACAGCTTGCACCAGAATTCCCCTCCCATGCCCCATTAGCAGATTTTGCACGGTTGCTGTTTCGCTTTTCTCTCCTCGTTCCACCCAGGTTTCACTGCCTGCTCCCCACTTTCAATTTTCAACTTAAAGCCTATAATTTTATTGGAGTGGAAAACACGGTGGTGGTGAACTTCCAGCCTGCAAGCTTAATTAGACGCACCAGGCTTCCCCATGTGGCTGCAATGTGATTTGGCCCAAACCACACTCACCTGTCCATCATCTGATTGACACAGAGATTCTCCCTTTTGAATTCAAGCCAGGACTGCAGAGAAGGAATGAAAAGTGCATGGGGACGGACAGACTATCATTTCTTCCTTGAAGTTTAAGCATGACATTGGGTGATTGACAAGTGGTGTGTCAAAGTGGCCCACAGAGGGATCTACTTCCTCACACCCCCCCCGGGTTTCAGGGTTCAATTAAGAGACCAGGGGTCAAATCTGCACTCGGATATGAAACGTACCGGGTGCCCTTGAGGCAGTCTGAGGCTGTGTACACCATGTACCTGAAAAGCACATTCAAAGCACATTTCCCCCCTAAAAGAATGCTGGGCGCTGTAGTTTACCCCTCACAGAGCTACAAGTCCCAGCAGCCCTTAACAAACTACACTACCCAGAATTCTTTGAGGGAAGGGGTGTGCTTTGAATGTGCTTTAAAGGTCTAGTGTTGACACAGCCTCAGCCTAACTTGCCTCACAGAGATGTGAAGAGAAAATGGAGAGGTGTTCACTACACCATCCTGACCTGCTTGGAGGAAAGATGGTAAACAAACGACTACTTTGTATAAAACACCTTTTAATAATAATAATAATAATAATAATAATAATAATAATTTATTATTTGTACCCCGCCCATCTGGCTGGGTTTCCCCAGCCACTCTGGGCGGCTTCCAACAAAGATGAAAGATACACTAAAATAGTAATTCCATTTGGTGCAATGGCTTCTCACAATGGCCGTTTCTCTCTCTCTCTCTCTCTCTTGGTTAGTCTACTCAGTGTAGGAGCGATCACACAGTGAAGGGGTTAAGCCGCAATACTCTATAACCGATCAGTTTTGCCTAAGTGATAAGGTCTCTGATGGCCAACTAATGACAGTGACAATAAGTGAGGGCCATTTAAACAGAAGTAAATGAACATGTGTGTGTGTGTGTGTGTGTGTGTAAACACACACACACACACACACATTCAGTAAAAGAAAGAAGCATTTTCCAGCACTGCTAAAAACGTTTGCTAAAAGCAGCGAATAATCTCGGCTCATTTCTGCTTCCATTATATTTTTGTGACGGTTTATCTTCCTCTATGTTGTGGTAAGCCGAGTCAAAAAAAAGAAAGAAAAAGCAGAATATGCATTTGGGAGGGGTAGGAGGAGATACGGGTGCATCTAAAAGCAAAATGTACCTTTCACCAGAACGTCCGCCCACACAACCAACAAATATGCTTGTGGCAAGAAATAGATCAATTGTTACACAAAGAGCAGTTCAGCAGAGTCCCTCCTGTCAAATTAACACTTAATACAGTTGCCTAAAATCCTAGATATGTGATGGCATATGCATACATTCATATGCTTGAATGCATGCCAGTTTTTATTATAATTAAAGTCGCTTGACCTCTGCACAAATGTGGATAGGCACCAACTCCTGGCTTCCTCATGGGTTTCCAGCATCTCAGGTCTACAACTCGCTGATGACAATCTGTCACAACAGCAGCAGAGAACCTCAGGCTGGAGTGACCTCCAGACTTCGTTTTTCTGGTCGCTGGAACTCTCCCCTGGCCACGCCCCCTCCAAGGCCACACCCTCTTTCCCCAGGCCACACCCCACACTGGCCTTGCTTCACCTAGGGCCTGGTTTGTCCCAATTGGCTTACACAATCACCTGACGTAATTCAAGCTCGGAGCCCAGCTGATGCGCTTTGAGCCTGGTCCCTTGAGGATTAGAGTGTTGGATAAAACGCCATGGACTTTGTAAACATATCATGCACAAATGGTAAATAGCGCTTGTGCAAAAATTAAGCGATAAAATAAATTTGGCACAAGGCTCGAAGTGCAAAGACTCTTCTGCAATTGAATGGCATTTACTGTGTACGTGGCTAAAATGGGAAACGGAGGACTCTTTCATGTTATAAAACTTTGGAGTTGCCTTCTGTGCAAACAGTAGTCTGTTGTATAGGGCCCAGCATAACTTACGTTATCTTGCTGTTATTTTGCCTCTCTTGCCTAAACACCAGCTTCTGGGTGGGATATTTCAGTAGTTATCTGTATGATGTCATACAGTGCTACCTTGGGTTACATACGCTTCAGGTTACATACGCTTCAGGTTACAGACTCTGCTAACCCAGAAATAGTACCTTGGGTTAAGAAATTTGCTTCAGGATTTGAACAGAAATCGTGCTCCGGCGGCGCAGCAGCAGCAGGAGGCCCCATTAGCTAAAGTGGTGCTTCAGGTTAAGAACAGTTTCAGGTTAAGAACAGACCTCTGGAACGAATTAAGTACTTAACCCGAGGTACCACTGTATGCTGAAAGGATTTAAGAACAAACAACTGGGTTTGTGGCAGCTTTGTGCTTTGGCTGTCTGTCTTCCTCCCCCCAAACAAAATCCTGGCTTCGCCCATGAGATGGGAGGAGGAGGGCAGAAGCTATCAGATGAGGCAGAGGACCCGGAGATTGTGGACGGGGATAGCTCCAGCAGTGATATGGAAGCAGGTCCTGGATATGTGAGTTTAGGGTTTTCCCACCAAGTATTTTTGGCTATTACAAACATGGATGTTTTGATCTGTCTCAGGAGACCCACAAGGAAGTGGGAGCTGGGGCAGGAAGGAGAAGTTTGCCTCCACTAGGGATGTATGGGAATTCCCAGGAAAATGGGAGCAGGAATTTCAAATGTTTGCTTAATTTGTACCATGTCTGGAATGGAACTTAATCCAGTGGATATCATACCTGTATCCTGTTAGATTTCTATTATGCCACTATGCAGTTTTTGGAGTCACAAGACTCTGTTTACATTCCAGACTGCTGGAAGTCTCACGGCAGACGGGAGACGGATGTTGATGTTACTGGTTTCCTGTTTCTTTGTTTCTAGTTGTTCACTGACTCTCACAGAGAGCAGATGCTTATTCTTTTCTGTCCTGAGTAGTTAGAAATAAACTTAGCGATGTAGCACATATTTCAGCTCCTTTTACTGCTGTTTGGATACTCTGCGTAATGGGAGCGTGCCTGAAGCCTCATCAAAGGCTTAGGTCGTAAATCACCGTCAGAGCAGAGCTCGATGGATTCCGAAGACTGGAGGAGAGCCATTTCAGCTCGGTCGTACACAAGCTCCACCATATCCCACTCTTCCTCTGACAGGAGCTCAAGATGGCTAGCAAATTCATGGACGGCTATCAGTGGCTACTAGCTGCAATGGCTCGCCTCGGCCTCCGTGGTTTTAGGTGTCCATATTTCTGAATGCCAGTCGCTGGAAACCACAAGAGGGAGAAATGCTCTTGTGCTCAGCTCTTGCTTGTGGCTTTCTCACAGGCGTCTGGGTGACTCCTGTGAATCATAGAACCACAGAATTGTAGAGTTGGAAGGGACCCGAGGGTCATCTAGTCCAACCCCCTGAAATACAGCAAAACAGGATGCTGGACATGGTGGGACACTGGCCTGATCCAGAAGGCTCCTTTTCTTATTGGTATTCACTGTTGTTGCTGCTCTCAGTCTGCAAACGATGCAGAACTGATTATGTTCCCCTCCTCTCATTTGGCTTGTGTTTTCTTTGCACTGAAATGGTTGGGGTGGAATAATGTAATGGCAACATAATTACCTAATTACCGCAATTAATTGCATCAATTATTGGAGTTACATAATTTCGCCACAACAAACAATGAGATGGATAATGCACTTTTTGGCAGAAGATGAACTGCAACAGAGTGGAAACAATGCGACAAGCACAGGGTGGGATGCAATACAGTACATGCTGACATTGTGAAGATTTCGGCTAATACCTGCCAAGAGAGAATACATAGAAACAAGCAAACAAACACTTTCTTCTGTGTGGGTTTCTAAGGCAGATTGCAGTCGTTATGGCTACATATTTTTTTTTATTTTAAGAAAGGGAAATTTAAAAGAGAAAATGCACAAGATTAAGCACCGTGTATAGATTGGCCCCTAAACATGAATTCTAACATATAGAATGCATAGGTTCCATTGGTACAATGTATATGAGAAGATAAAGGAAAGGAAATAAAAAGGAACTTTTAATAAGGTAGCTGTGTCTTTTCCATTAAGAACGTAGGCAGTACAAAATAATGTTTCTTCTCAGCGATACTCCCTAGAGTGAGCATCAGCGAGTCCATTATCCATCCTATTTGGCAAGAATGACACAGAAATTTAAGCCTTGCACAGCTAAGCTCCCATCCAATTTTATGTTATCTTGGAGTATTGAGTGAACAGTACATCCTACCCAACAAGCCATTTGCGGCACACATGGTTCCCGCATTCCACAAATTACAATGGTGGGTCTTGTACCCCAGCCTTAAAACACTCATCAAAACCAAGATAACCATTAAGGGCAGTACAGAAGGTGGCAATCATTGGACTAATTATATTTTACTCCCGAAAGGCCCAGACAAGTATGTTTGAAGTTGGCACCTGAATGATAATAGCTTAGGGTGGGGCGAGGGTGCAACTGGAATTGCTTCAGGAGGGCATTTCATAACTGCGTCACTGTCATTGAGAAGACCTTGTTTTGCATCATCATCCAGATACAAAAGAGATCAGGGCTCCTGTGCCCAGAAGAGGGAATTTCAGCAGGTGTGGCTTGCAAGGCCTCCTGAAATCCTCATTCTCTTTCTTTTTTTTAAATAATATTTATTAGTTTTCAACAATTTAAAAACTACAAAGAGAGAACAACAACAACACACAAAAAATACAAAAAAAAACAGTACAATACAATGCAAAAAAGACTAACAAAACATATCTTATCTTCCTTTCCCCTATTTCCACGACCTCCTCACACCTCCCTTTTTGTATTCCACTTCTATTAATTGTTTCAGCAATTCCTTTCCATCTTCCCCTGTTTTCTATCCTATAATTATCTTACCACATTTTAACCTTATTTTTCCTTTAATACTCTATTAATCTATTTATACTTAATTCCTTATAACATTTCTACTAAAGCCATATTACTTCACTCCAACGTTCTTCTAGCATTCATTAATTTTACAATGTTTCTGTAAATAATCTTTAAACTTCTTCCAATCTTCTTCCACCGACTCTTCTCCCTGGTCTCGGATTCTGCCAGTCATTTCCGCTAGTTCCATATAGTCCATCAACTTCATCTGCCATTCTTCCCTGGTGGGTAAATCTTGTGTCTTCCAATACTTCGCGATGAGTATTCTTGCTGCTGTTGTTGCATACATAAAAAAAGTTCTATCCTTCTTTGGCACCAATTGGCCGACCATGCCCAGGAGAAAGGCCTCTGGTTTCTTCAGAAAGGTATATTTAAATACCTTTTTCATTTCATTATAAATCATCTCCCAGAATGTCTTAATCCTTGGGCATGTCCACCAAAGGTGAAAGAATGTACCTTCAGTCTCCTTACATTTCCAACATTTATTATCGGGCAAATGGTAAATTTTTTCAAGCTTAACTGGTGTCATGTACCACTGAAATCCTCATTCTCAGAAGTATGAAAGGAGCAGGAGCCCAGTCACCCAGTGGTGTAGCGTGAGTTGCCAGTGTTAGGATATTTCCGTTCCACCTTAAAAAGGGGAGCAGGTTGTTGTGTCACAGCCTGCGTATTTCCTGTTCACAGGATGTTTCTGTTTTGTATATAGCTATTGTCTCTCTCTCTGTGCCTCCACACGCAGGCAGGCAGTCATGTTTTTTTCTTTGTTCTGACCAACGCTGAATAAAGTTGTAAATAATGCTCTCCTGAGTGCATCTTTCGTTGTGCGAACTCTGCTTAAAGGGCGTGCATGAGTGCTGGAATGTGGCAAGCTATTTCTGAGGTTCGTGTCGCTAATTGACTGATACTGTATCTACGGGAGATTGATGGATTGTCCCAAATCAACGTGGAGGCATGATGGCCTTTGTCTGCCTGGCAGTATCCCAACAGCCAGTGCCCGGGCCATGGAGAGTGGGTGGTGGGTGGGAGGGAAAGGGACAGAGTATGCATGCTCATTCAACATCCTAACAGCATCTGCATCACCCAGGAGATTGCGCGCCACAGAGAAAAGGAGAGCCGTTCCATTGCTTGGAGAGGTCACTTCCTGGTTTGCATGGAGAAGCCGCTTTCAATGCAGCCCAGCAACGGAAGCACGCAGCCGTAGTGGGCTAGCACTGGGTGTTGAAAAATTGCACCTCTAACAATTTTACGCCTGGGGCAACCACCCCTGTGCCCCCCACCAGCACGCTATACCACCGCAGTCACCTTTTGCATCCGGCCACTTAACCAACAAACACATCTCCCGGCTTTCTTCTAAATGTTCAGCTTGTTCCATTCTTGCTTGTTCAATATTCTAGGAAGAGAACGCTCCGGAGAGGTCACATGTCTTCTCTACAGGGTAATTTTCTTCTTTTCAAAGGATAGCCAGGCAGCAGCCTGCAGCTAGCCTAGCTTCACAGCAACTTGATCTATCTCTGCACATTTTAATTAAAAGGTAAAAAGTGTCCATTCATCTCACAGTTTCACTTCTAAAGAAAAGGAACAATTAGTCTAGGGGCACATCCAGGTGCTGTTTTCATTGTGCATGATTTGTGCTCGTAATGGCATCAGGGTGGTTGTAGACAATCCCATTTTCAATGCTCTTTGTGCCTGCAGTCATTTTAGGGCTGGTATACAGCTTCGCTCCCAGTAGGTTTACATCTCTTAGCTTCCTGGTGAAATCCTGTAGCTTTTCATATCACAAATGATCCAGGGTTTGTTTGTTTGTTGTCACACTTCTGTTGCCTCCAGATGGCAATAATGCAATAACTTTGGGGAAGCATCACAGAGCAACAGAATGATGTGTGAGTAGTTCATTATTAAAACAATTGCGTAGCGCATAATGCATTGGTCTTCAACCAGCAGGTGGGTCGCAGCAAAGTTTTTGCTGCTGTGTTTGGCAGTGTGAGCCAGTGTGGTGTAGTGGTTAAGAGTGGTAGACTCATAATCTGGTAAACCGCGTTTGATTCCCTGCTCCTCCATATGCAGCTGCTGGGTGACCTTGGGCCAGTCACACTTCTCTGAAGTCTCTCAGCCTCACTCACAAGAAGTGTGACTAGCCCAAGGTCACCCAGCAGCTGCATGTGGAGGAGCGGAGACGCGAACCCGGTTCACCAGATTACGAGTCTACTACTCTTAACCACTACACCACACTGGCTTACTGAGTACAGCATTGGAAACAGGCCAGGATAAATAATCCTGTTGCAGTTGAACTGATTGATGGGTTGGTAATTTGATTCATTGCATTTTAATGTGGTTTTATCTAATCGTATTTTAATCTCTTGTTTGTACACCTCTCCACCCCAGATGTCCTCATGCCATCAGAGCGCTTGTCTAGCACTCTCTCTGCGGTTAGAATTCTTGGTGGTAGACTTGTCAGTGCTCTCGCTTCCTTTCCCCCCTCTTGAACTGTCAGCAGGGAACCACGGTTTGCAAGCTGCCGTTTTGAACACGTCTCTGCTTTCTACACGGAGGTCTTACGTTCCAGTCCGATGAACTGTGCAACATCTTTCTATCCCCTGGCCTAATGAATGATGCAAGAAGGAAGCAGGTGTCTTCTAAGGCACAAGGCTTAAACAGGCGCTGCAGAGCCAGAAGCAGATCAACCATGTTGGTTTCCTTCCCTGCAATCTCTGAAGCAGAAAAACAGTGCTTCGGTTGTGTTACGATGCTTTTTCTGACACTTCCAGACTGGACTATTGTGCTGCTCAGTGACAGAGAATATGCTCTGCATGCAGAATGTCCTGGGTTCAGTCCCCAGCATCTCCAGGTAGGGCTGGGAGAAACCTCTGGCTGAAACCCTGGAGAACCACAGCCAGCCAGTGTAGACCAGGGTAGGGAACCTTCTGGCCTGTTGGCCAACTTTGACCCAGAATGCCATTTCCCCCAAGCCACACATGCCTCTCAATCAGCTGGTGACACTGGGTGATGGTAGCTGATGGGAGGGAGTTCAGTCCCACTTCACCAGTACATTCCCTATGGGGAACAAGCTCGTAAAGCATGTGGGAGATTGCAGTCAAACATAACTCTGCATGACTGCTAGTTAGTACATGATAGGATTAAAGGCCATAGAGTTGTATTGCTAGATAGACTCAGGTTGTGCCCCTCTCCTCTTCTCACAGAGAGGCTTTTTTCCTCT